GCCTTTCGTTGTTTTCAAACTTTTCATGCTTCAGACTTCGATTGCAAAGATTTCCGCCTAGAATATGGTTATGGATACGAGCCCATTGACAGACTTTTCTGGAATCTTGGTCCACACACGCCTGCCCATCTGCCGCCGTCCATCTTCGATCCATCGGTATACGGTATCGGTAGTTTGTATTAAATTATATAAATTATTATCGTTTAAGGTTTCAACAAGTCGAAGATCTAATCGAGTAAACAAACACTACATACTTAGAATTTTGAATTGACGCTAAAAAATTTTGCCTTCTCAACTTCGTAGGCCAACTCACGGAGTTCCCATCTAACAAATACATTCAAATAGTTTTACCAAAAGGGTTAAGAACTTGGAAAATGCTCAAGTGGAGGTTTTATTTTGAACCGAACCAAACCGGACCATATTTTAGAGTCGTTTTCGGTTCGGTGCTGATATTGCAAAATAAAAACAGTTCGGTTCATGAAAACGCATTTCTTTCAAAATAATTGAAAATATGCTATCATGGGAAAGGTTCTGTTTGGAAAAATGATGCTACTTTTTCGTCTATCGATATTAGAACTAGTTCGGAACTATCGACAAAAAAATGCAGCGCGGAACAATTGACACTTCGTAGGACATCGCAGTAGAAATTCGCCAAATTCTCTAGTAGCGAATCAGTTCGGCACTAGCGCGTTTCCCCACAGGGCAAAGCCGGCAATCAAGGCACACGGTCAATGCTGAAGGCTTTCCATTTTATACAGATGGGTGTATTACATACAAATATTGCTGGCGACAATGCTATCGGCGTTTTGCTTGAATGCTTCGCGATTAGTGGGTGCCTGCGATACGGAAAATAGCAACGCAACGGCAGCGGCTAACATCGCAGGTAATTAACTTACTTCTACAAAAAAAAAAACGGAATACTTATTGTTTAAGTAGTTGTTGCTGTTAACAGTGATATTGAAAGTGAAAGAGTCTGCGCTGAAGAAAGGAGGGTAAATATTCCCTACTTTACTTACACAAGCAAGTAAGCGACAATTTGTAGTTTAAATACTGTGTCGCCTACTTATGTAAGTAATTATGTAATGCTTAGTTGGTGGTTACCTTATTTGTCCGATATGATAATAAATCGAAGTGTGAATATTGCAATTTTAATACTTTGATTGGCATTGCGCTCAGTTAAGAATTCTCAAAGTAAAATGTGGAGAATCGAGTCTATTAGAAGTGGTTATATGTAAAGCAGCTTCTTCTTATTTGGAGCTGTCACTGCCTAAGCGATTTTTGACGGGTTCAACAAAGCAAGCCAGTCGTTTCTCTTCTGTGCCAATTGCCGCCAATTGTAAATGCCAGGTGAAGCCGCTCCCTTCCCCGCTTGATCTTACCAATATCGGATTCAGAACTGAACACTTTCAGAGCTGGAGTATCGGTGTCTATTCGAACGACATGGCCAAGCCAACGTAGCCGTCGCCAATAAGTGAAGGCCCGTAAATTTTGCGCAAAATCTCTCTCTTTTGCGTCATACACCAGCACGGGTATGATGAGTGACTTATAGAGTGTGGTTTTTGTACGTCGAGAGGGAACTTTACTCCCGAATTGCCTACTCAGTCTAAAGTAGCACTTGTTGGCAAGAGTGATTACGCGTTGAATTTGGATGCTTACATTATTATCGGTGTTAATGCTGGTTCCCAAGTAAACGAAATTCTCTACTTTCTCGAAATTATAACTATTATATACGTACTACTTTTCATGTCATGTCGAACTTCAGTGCTTTCAAGGTTCCCCCGACTCTCTGATATAATTCAGATGCATTTAGTTCGAAGTTGTTCTGCTTCTCTCCCACAAATATCTGGCGCATGAATTTCCGCTTAAAAAATGTCTGCCCATGGGTGTCGATTTTTTGAAATTTGGCCAAATTAAGGATTGGATCGAATATAATTTGTAACTTTTGAAAATGCATGAGATAGCTGTCAAGAAATACTAATTTTTTTTTTCAACGGCAATGCTTCCTTCAAAGCGTTAAAGTTTATTCCCAATTTGAACTTTCCCGTTAAAGCATACAGTTTTGGTGTAAAAATGAATCAAGAACAACGGCGCAAACTTATTGTTGACAAATATCATGAAAATCCACAAAGGCCGCGGCATTTTATTGCAAAGGAATTAAAAATCGCGCGAAGTACGGTTGAATCGGTACTGAACCGATATTTGGAGTCACTGACGGTCCAGCGCTGCCCAAAACTCAGCTTTAAAATTGGTCCTCGAGATCAACTTTTGGACGTAAAAATAACATCAGTGATAACGAAAAATCGAAGCATGTCCTCTAGAGATGTTGCGAAAAAATGTGGAAACAGCCAGTCTATGGTGCAAAGATGCAAGAAGAGAAATAATTTAGAAACTCGGAAGAAGCTAAAAGCAGCAAAGGTTAGCGAGAAGCAGATAAAAACACGAGCCCGAAAGCTGTGCAATTTGATGAGAAAAAAAAGGCTTGCATCATTTTAGACGATGAAACCTACGTAAAAGCAGACTTTAGCACGCTTCCAGGACCACAGTACTACACGAAGTTTAAAGGCGAAACACTCCCAGATGCAGACACTTCAATCAATATTGAAGAATTTGGAACTAAGTTTCTTGTGTGGCAGGCAATTTGCCAATGTGGCAAAAGGACCTTCTCATTTGTGACAACTGGCACAATTAACGGATAAATGTACGTCAAGGAGTGTTTAAACAAACGATTGCTGCCATTTGTAAGAAATCATGGAGGAGCCGCACTATTTTGGCCGTATTTAGCTCCAGCCCACTACGCGGCATCCACAATTAACTTTCTTGAATCCAAAAACATTGCCTACTTGTTTATACTGCTTAAAATTTCAGGTTACGTTCAGTTCAGTCCTTATTTACATATACAAACCACAGTTTACTCATTTAGAATTTTTAATACATCTCTATGACTGCACTGGATAACCCTACAGTTCCTATAGACTTGCATCATTATGTGGGGTCATTATCGTTACGACCTTCAGATAGTAGGTATGCTAAATTGTTTTTATACACACATACATAGCACACTTGTGCACAAGGGTATTGTAACTTTGTTCACATAACGGCTGTTTGTAACAGCCAAACCAAAACGAAACGAGATAGATATAGACAAATGTATACATAAATGCTCAGAATGAAAAAAGAAACCGATTATGCGAAGACTGTCTGTCTGTCCGTCCGTCTGTCTGTGCACACGATAACTCGAATAACAGTTGAGATATCTTAACGAAACTTGGTATGTGTAATTCTTTTCAGCGTATGACGGATGGTATTGAAAATGCACAAAATCAGACAGTAACCACGCCTACCTCCCATATAACGGCATTTTTTAGAAACCATGCAGGCTCCGCAAAATGCTTCGGAAGCAGTGTCCGGAGAATACAACATACTACATAGGCCGAGCATGCTTTCAACTGCCATCAAATTAAAACTTAAGAAAGTTTTATTACATGGCAGTTGAGAAGTGCAAGTGTACAAAAATTTCATAAATTTAATCAAATTAAATTTTTGCAAATGCAAAACAAATACAAAACTCAGTATGGTTATCGCGCTTGCCACATAAAAGCAAAACGTCCAAAATCGTAGAAATAGGGCTTAAATTATCACGACTTTTCATATAAGTCCACCGCTAAGGTGTAGTGATAAACAGTGTGCGCTTCCACTCCGCAGGGCCCGAGGTCAAGCCCAGCTTAAAGCAACATCGCAAAAAATAAATAAAAACAAATAAGAAAGTCTAAGTTCGGGCGGAGCCGAACATTAAACACCCGGCGCAAGTATTAAATATATGATTTTCACCTTTCCGGAAGCTACCGCTACATGGTGAGCCGGGGTGTATCAATTTTGAGTAAATTTGCGTCCTTAAAAACGTCCTTTAAACGGCATGGAATGCTCTGGACCTAGTTGATAGTCCAGTAGCTATTTCTATGTGCTTCTTCCTCTTGCTTGGCCCCCTTTCCTATGCCGCAGAAGTGCTCTGGGCCGATGTGAAAATATTTACATTTTTTAGCTTCGCACTGCATTCTGCAACTTTAGATGATCATCAATGCATTTTGCAACGCTTGCATTCTTCACAAAATATAAATAAATTTTGTTTGTCACATTAATACCTACAGCTACATACATTATTGTCGCACTTGATTTTTATTGTTGCTGCCTTAACATACATATGTGCCAAAGTCTGGCATACATACTACTGCTGCCATGTGTCAAGTTTTGCTGAGTTTGCAGCATAGTCATTTCGCGTAACAGCCGAAGCCTTTTTTTGATGACCCAGTAGGAAAGAGTTTTTTCCTAAGTTGGTGTGGGAACTTTTTGGGGTTCATGAAAATACGCGAAAGGTATCGACTTTTTTTGTCAAGTCAGGACCAGGAAAAATATAGTGCTTATCATAACTTAAAGACACTCACAAATTGCAAAGATTTGACTATTTATTTTATTATTTTTTTTGATTTTAAATATTTGCGTATAAGAATATAGTTTATTCTTTAACAAAATCCGTATAATCCAATTTTCAATGTTTGTGATATATCGAAAAAAAAAATTTCGTAAAAATTTCGATTCTTTTAATTCGCTTTCTTCGCAATATTTTAAGTATGCTTTTTTGTAACCCATCCAATTTTATATTTTAAAGCGCAAATTTGAAGTAACTGCGACGTGAAATTGATTTTTGACAATTTTTTTTTGCATTTTGGCAAGCATATGGATATGAAGACGTATGCTTATCACATAGATATTTGAAACCGCATGTACATATATTTGTATTTGTATCTCAGCTAGTTGTATGTATGTATGTAATTTATGTTATTAGGAGAGAAAAAGTTCTACAGTGGCAATATATCCCTCAGTCTTGTTTTATCCAATTGGTTGTGCGAATCGCTAAAATTTGCAGTCCTCTAAAAATATGCATCTCAAAACGTTTATACTACTGCACTTCATTTTAATTTTCAAATTAAAACCTTGTTTGAGTCGAAATAATTAATTGGAAGATATTTGCGCCTACGACTGTGATCTGCAAATAGGTATGTTTGAACACTTTAACACTAAATTAAAGTCGTTGCAACAACTTGTAAAGCAAATTCAGGCAGAAAATTTGCGCCTACAAACTGAGCGAAAAAGGTAATGAGTATGCAGTGTGGTGCCAAAGTTGACAGTTCGAAGGTTAACTAATTTTTAAAATTTCGTTTCTTATCGAATAGCCAAAGTCTGCCCACCAATTGCATGAAAGCAGCCGCTGGCTCGTTTAAAAGTGGCATCTATACAATAAAATATCAGCGATTTGGTGATGAGCCATTCAAGGTGTGGTGTGATGAGGATACCGACTTTGGCGGTTGGATTGTCATCCAGCGACGAGTAAGCGCGGATGTGGACTTCTATCGAGATTGGCAACAATATAAGAAAGGATTTGGTGAATTGTCGGGCAATTATTGGATTGGTTTGAATAAATTGCACGCTCTAACCGCAAGTTGTGAACAAGAGTTGTATATAAAAATGGAAGCGTCCAATGGCACAAAGTACTATGCAAAATATGATTTGTTCGTCATTGGTAGCGAAGAGGAAGATTATGTTTTGCGAACACTTGGTAATTACACAGGAAATGCTAGACACGGTTTAAGGTATCATAAAGGCAGTAAGTTCTCAACATTCGATCGAGATAATGATGCAAACCCTGGTATTAATTGTGCCGAACGTTGGAGAGGAGCTTGGTGGTACACAGAGTGTTATATGAGGTGAATTGAAGTGTATTTTGCACATTTACGCATAGATTTACATACATACGTATTTTAAATACCGTTTTTCTCAGCAATTTGAATGGCGACTATTCTCAAAAAGACAACGGCCAAGGCGTAACTTGGAACGGTATACAAATGGATGAGTCACTTGAGTTTGCGCAAATGATGATACGGCCAACGGAAAAATGTATTAAGCGGTTGGCAATGAATCATTTTTCATTTTAAGATGAAAAGTTATAAAACTAAAATAACTTTATGAATATTTTTATGGAGACAAAATTTTATAAGTCAAACGCACATTTAGCTTTAGATTTAATATTTTCAGAAAAGGTCAAGAGATCTTTATATACTACTGATTTAGGTATATTTAATATGCCCAATTTTCGTATTTAAAGTACTGAACTAAAATAAAAAATAAAAAAAATATATAGTTACTCACGTTACAATTTTGAGACATATACTTGGCCCGATACTTGAGCCTGATACTTGGTTTTTGTTAAAAAATGATAAGTTAAAACTTATCAATATGTGGTGCGGCTATGATGTTTTCGTCCACTGTAATAACGAAATTAGAAAAGTTGGATTTTGACGCTTTTTAATAAATGCTATTTAACAATTTTTTTGTTAATTCTATGAGTGCTTTCTAGTACCACAAGTCATAAAATGGTTTTTGATGTATTTAATTAATGATTACTGAGCAAATATTTTCTCAATTTTTTACTTTGCTACAAAATTGTAAAAAACAGTCTACGATATATGTAGGTACATTAGACTGCATCACCAAAAAAAAGTTGCCGTTTTTCCGCCGGGATTACGGATTTGAAAATACCTACAAAATTTGAATTTTTACGAATAAAATAGTTTCCTAAAAACATTTTGGTGAAAGCCTTAAAATATAATAGATGTTATAATTGCAATCGAAACACAATACCGAACTGTTTTTTTTTTTTGTATGGGGAGTATTGCAGTCTAATGTACATATGTACGTAGTATGTATAAAATAAAGATAACTTCAATAAGAATAGAGAGGCCGAAATACGTGAGTGCGAAGAGCTTGAAATGCTGGCCGACAGGAAGAATTCCCGAAAATTTTACCAGAGAGTTAGGCGACTTACGGAAGGTTTCAAGACCAGGGCGTACTCCTGTAAGAACAACAATGGCGACCTAGTAACCCATGTCCAGAGCGTACTTAAGTTATGGAGGGAGCACTTTTCCGCCTTACTAAATGGTAGCAGCACGGAAAGTTGTGGGAAAGAAGAGCCCGAGCCCGCAGTCGATGATGACGGAGTCGACGTTCCACCGCCTGACTATGACGAGGTACGTATAGCAATAACGCGGCTGAAAAACAACAAAGCCGCTGGACCTGACAGCCTGTCAGCTGAGCTATTCAAGTACGGTAGCGAGGAGTTGATAAAGTGCATGCATCAACTCTTGGTCAGAATATGGTCAGATAAACGCATGCCCGACGACGGGAATTTAAGTGTGCTCTGCCCAATCCACAAGAAAGGCAACCCTGCCATTCGCGCCAACTACCGCGGGATCAGCCTTCTAAGCATAGGTTACAAGGTCTTATCGAGCGTATTTTGTGAAAGTCTGAAGCGCACCGTCATTGAACTGATTGGGCCTTATCAGTGTGGCTTTAGACCTGGAAAATCCACCATAGACCAGGTATTCACAATACGCCAAATCTTGGAAAAGACCCGCGAGAAAAGAATCGACACTCACCACCTATTTGTCGACTTTAAAGCCGCTTTCTACAGCACTAAAATGAGCTACCTGTACGCCGCTATGTCTGAATTTGGCATCCCCGCCAAACTGATACGGCTGTGTAAAATGACGTTGAGCAATACCACCAGCTCCGTCAGAATTGGGAAAGATCTCTCCGAGGCGTTCGCCACCAAACGGAGCTTCAGATAGGGCGACTCTCTTTCATGTGACTTCTTTAATCTGATGTTGGAGAAGATAATAAGAGCTGCAGAACTGAACCTCTCAGGAACAAT